TGCTTGAAAGCAGGACATTTATTCAGCCACAATTACAAGTGTTAAAAGTACAAGGACTTTAACTCTATAAAAAGACTTGTGCGGGACTGTAGGAGTAACACAGTTTCTTTTGTTTCGTTTGCTTAAAGAGAGAATTCTTTACTGTATCTCAAAATGGGAATACAGATAGGACTGCACAGCCCTGCAGATTACCTCAAGAAGCCTCTAGTAATTACAAAAGACAACATGCATTCTGAAACTCAAAAGGAAACTTATTTATCCTGCAATTAGCAAGGTAAATATTTTCTTCACCAAGATGTTTTCTAGTCCTGTGCGGTCCAAGTGGCTCATGTTGGAACAGAAAATACCCTCCATGTGAATACAAGGTAACAGTAATTACAAAACAAGGAAACAACAACAAAAACAAAACACCCCCCGCCCCCTCCGATTTCCCACAGCTATTGAATTCTGCAGTAAGAAGCTGAAAAGCCTCTGTGCTGGTTTTCCCCGTGGAGGCACCGTGGAACACAGGGCTTACCTGGCTGCTATCACAGGAGGGTGCCAACACTCTCCACCACTGTGTGACAGAAAGGGAGAGGGGACAGTTCTAAACCATGGAGTTGAGATGATTTAGGAGTTTCCAGAGTGTCAAAGCGCACCACAAAAATAGGAAACCAAGTTACTCCTTTAATTTCACAGCAGGCTTTCAAACTCCTCTTCGAAATTCCTAAGCGCCTTTCTCTGACAACTTAAAATTGGAGACTGGAGAACTTCTTCACCAGAAATGGTGCTACAAGCTGTTACAGTCCGTTGCAAATAGGTAGCTACCATGAGTTTGGGGTATAAGCACTTTAATGACAGAAAACTTGTCCCAGGGTAGGGTAGAGTCTTCAAAGTTTACTTCAGGCAGATAACAAAATTGGAACCGACATCATCAGAAAGACCTAGTCACAGATACTGAGCCAAAGGCAGCAAAATAACTGTGTCCTCTTACCAGTGTTCAGGTTTTAGGTCATCAATAAAGAATTACTTCAGATTTTTCAGACTACTTTTTAAACTACAGGAGAAATCTCACACCAACACATTCTTGCCTCTTTCTTTACAACTCAGATTACCAAACCAAATAAAGAAGGGGAACTGTGAGTTCTCTGGAACTGAGCACGTGGTTTGTGCTTAGATGGTGCAAAAATCAAGATCACATACTCTAATTCAAAACAATAAATCTAAGCATATTCACACTGAAAATTTTCAGCATCAGCAACACATTTAGCCAGTTCCCAACTACAGCAAGTACACAGCCCAACTGTTCTCTGAGTTTTGCTTCTCCTCTTTCCTGTTTTTTGAGGGGTGGGGATGAGGTGTGTGAAAGGGATCAGTTGCTTATTACAGTTTTAGCTTAAGGTGTTCCACACTTCTTCCTCCTAAGCAGCTGCTTATCAGGGGACTTTTTCAAATCGCTTTGTGAGTAACTTGCAGGACTGTGATGAAAATCAGCTCCCATTTCCCAAATAATGGCATCACTTCCATGTTACTCATGCATGTGTTTTCACTGACTCTGTGGGAATGAGACACAGAAGCAACAGAAGGTTCTGGAAAGCTTGTGTGAATGCATGCTTTCCAACAACGCTCAGCAACAAACTGAACATTCAATCAGCAAGTATGATGAAAGACTGCAGACTGCTGCAAGTGGCCTTAGAGATTCTGTGATTCCTATGCCTACTTCATATGGTCCAGATATGTTCTATTTTGAGTCTTTTCATTGCAGTCAAGCTTAAGACTTAAGCTATTACATTGCCATAACATCTACCATGGCTACCTTCACATGGGAAGCAGCAGCCAACACAACTAAAAAGCAAGTTCTGGAGTTGTACAACAGATCAAACGTCATCACTATTATGGTACTGGGACAGGGGGAGCAGGAGGGAGCAGAGACACCTTCATTCGCAAGCAAAGACAATTTTCTAGATGCATAGCTATAAAACAAAAGCATCTGAATGTTTGTAATTTGAAAACAGGTATGTAATTAACCTTTCCTGTTTATAACGTGCTGTTACCATAAATAGGTACACACAAGTATGTCTACTGCATTTATTTCTGCACGTGGAAATATATACTGAAGCCCACCTTTCATATGGCATGCTTAGGGCTAAACATGTGCTAGTGTTCTGCCAACAAGAAATGTCCACAGCAACAGGAAAAACATACAAAAGCAGTGAACTCCAATTCTACCTCAATTTCCCATACCCACAAAAAACAAAACCTCAAACCAAAGAAGTAGCATAAGATAGCACAATAGGGTGGAGCTCAGGCTAAGCACAAGGACAACAGGTTTGCCTGTATATACCTTTTGACCCCACAATCATCCCTTTTTACAGAGAGAAACACAGAGATTATTCACCTTCCTGCCCAGAAGGAGCCAAGGCAGGAAGTAAGGCTGCTGGGCAAATATCTGTCTCCATTATTGGAGCTTTTGTAACGTAAGTGTGCCTGCTTTGGGGGTATTTATGAATTAGGCTTGAAATTAGCATGCATCTTCGTGTGTATGAGACTGTTGCCTGCTGTTCTCAACTTCCTTAACCAAATATTGTCAAATTAGCAACAACCACAGTTCCCACCAAGGGCTGTAATATTTAAATGTTTTGAAATCAAAAGCTATTTTTGGATTTATGTGAACCAAAAAATAAGGGCTGGAGTTGCATTTCTTCAAGGAGGAAATAAATTCTATGCCCATACACTTGCTCCCTCTGCCAAAAGTGGATGATTGGATTCAAATTTGAATTTAGAGAGACTAATTTTTAAATGAAGCATCTTGAGGAGTTACACAAACAACTTGAGGACAAAGCTTCCTTCTCCAAAAGATTAAAAGGAGCTGAGTGCACATATGGGGATTAGAAATATCATCTCAGATATGCAAAGAGCATGCAAGCTTAATGGAGAAAGCAGGCTTCAGTCTGAAGACCCCAGCAGCAGAGAGGGTTTATTTACAAAAATGGAACATGGTGTTGTTTAGAGGATGGCTAGGAAGAAGAATAGAAGAAAAGAACTGTTCAACAAAACATTAAATAAATTATTGCAGCAGTCTTTTAGTCTCAACATTAATACAGCCCTCTAGTAAGCAAAGGCACAATTGTAAGCAGAATAGACTTGATGGTCCATTGGTCTCTTTCAGTACAGTAACTCGTGTTCTAGGATATTTGCCATAATACATAAAAGCCAAAAAAGTTGTCACTTGAACAGTGTGGAATTAAACAAAGACACAAAGCAGGTAAAATTCAGCCCACGTTAACCTGTCATTCCACAGGAGAGCCGCGCAGTTCAGGGCCACCAGCTCAGTCTTTTGGTTGGGAGGTTAACAGGTCTCCTTTCTGTACCTATCATGCATGAGAACTCACAGAAAAACACGGTTTTTATTAGTATTCCTATAATGTAACATGATAGTACTCTTGTCTGATTACAATATTTCTACAATTGGTGTTAGGATACGGGTGCATACATGTCCTTCTGCATAGGTGTTGCTTGTACTTCACCAAAAGGCACCCCAGGCAGCTTCCACAAATGGCATTAACTAACTTGAAAAAATTAATACATGCTCACTTCATCAGGACAGTAACTTGTAGCACGTGTTCCTTTAATAACACCACATATCGCTTATCTTTGGTTTTCCACTCCTCTTTGGTGCAAGGCACACAAAGAATCTTAGACACATCCAAAAATTTAACTCGTACACGATTGAATACCATATAACAACATCAAATAAGTCTGCAATTGGTAAAGGAGTTTTAATACACAGATAATTTATATGTAGTTATTTTTGCTGAGAATGTTTGATAAAAGTGAAGTGCACTATATATTTAGTTCTACAGTTTCCTCCTAAATGAGAAGGTTTGTCTCATCTCTCTTATTTTGCCCTTTAATCTTAAATGATATTTCAGAGTCCCAAACAGTTCAAGGACTGAAAGTTATTACCTATTTAGTACTAAACACTAATCAAAGTGGTGCTGAAACACTGTAAGATTCCATTACTTATTCAAAAAAAGAAGTCACAATGTGTGGATACAGTCTATTAAGCAAGACTGGTTTAACAAATTTTCTTAACAGCTAAAACCAGTTTATAATCTGAAGAAAAAAAAAAATATAAGATGTAATCAAGTTGGATCCACCAACAATAAAATAGCAGTAGTTTAAATTTACTAAACTGAAACCATTTAATAGGAAGAACATGCCCCAAACACCTACCTGTATAACACTTGCAAATTTAAGGAGTATGGATTTCAACACATTTGTTATAACTAGACACCATGAAGTTCTCATTGTATAAGGCAAGCTTGCATTTCAAGAATTCACAATACAGAAACATGACTGGCAGAATACATCGTATACATAGTACTGTACCTCCAGCATCAAAACACCAGTGTAGAAACACAATGTGAAGATAACAATCTCCTAAAAACATAACTGCCTGAAAGGAATCTTCAGGTTCTCACACAATGTCCTTATTAACATCTTAATTGATTTTAAGTTCTCCACTCGTATCCCAATGAATAATTACTCACATAAGCTGTCTCTATAGACTTCAGTGGGGTTACTCCTGAAAGTAACAGCTCAGCAAAGTCCAAAATGTCTAGTTCTTTCCTTAAGCATTTACACTGAAATCCAAATGAAGCACTTAGAATTACCAACCTTACTTGCAACTTCATGATTTTTTCCAGTTACCTTTCTCAGTTCTAAAAACAGAGGGGCCGCAAAATTTTAGAAAATACAAGCTATGAGCAATACAATTTCATCAACAATCAGAAATCCAAGGGAAGAAGAAAAAAAAAAAAAAAAAAAAAGAAAAAACTTCACAGGATCTAGGATGACTGCCCAAAATAACTCCCCCCCACCCCTAAAAAACACACATATACACACAGATAATTACTGCTTACTGGTTTTGGGGGAGGAGCTTATGCCCAGCAGTCACCAACTAGGGGGAAAATTGTATAAATACTCAAGGGTGACACTTGAAATCATCAGCTTCTGCTCATTCACCAGTGGCAGAAGAACTCCTCAACAGAGGAGGATTCACTGCTCTACTACTCTGCTTTGGGGCCTCACAACATCTTGGTATGTTACAATTTCATTTCATTCTATTTGGTTTTGAAGGTAACTTCTACAGGATACATGTTTTCTGGTTTGGGAGAAAAGGGGGTTGATATTTAAAGGCCAGTAACAGCATCCTTACTGCCACTGGGGGGGTATTTGAAAGGCTACAGATAAAAGCCTTGTTTCAAGCAAGGCAACGTGAGATTTTTTGCCACCGATTCTGAAGGAGCCAGGACTTCACGCTTCATCTGCTACGGTATTAGACAAAGGCAGTAAGGCTGTGGTAGAGTGTCTATGTATTTCCACTGAAAATTTTTCTTCATTTCAGAAGTTTGGATATATGCGACTCCTGAATTTAATTTTGGAGCCCTCGTGTAAAATAATCAGTGTTTCTGAAGACAGCGCTTTTAAATAGGCTGGCATCTATTTAAAGGATTCTTTTCCTAAGAGTGAGACTATTGTCTCTGAGCTATCTATACAAGAGCTCTATCATTCAAAATGATAGCAATACTGATACCCTTTTTCTTACATGACTTTTCACAACTAGTGAAAGCAGGAGGAAGTAAACACAAAATAAGGTTACTTTTAATACCAACACTTTAAGAAAACTCATTTATTCATGCAGGAGAAACTGACCTGAATATCTTTTCTTTATTACAAACTTCTTCTCCCCTTTCTAACACAGAACGGATTTGGAAACATGCATTTACAAATATCCTTACTGCTGCTGTTTTGTCTAAACATTGTCCATGGTAGCGATGGGTATTTTTCTGAGCGATATCAGAAACAATCCAGCATCAAGGGGCCACATTTTCTACCATTCAACGTAAAGAGTCAAGGTAAGTTTGCTATCTTTTGATAATAAACTAACACAGTTATTCCTAGTGGGTCAATACATGAACAAAAGCTCTTTGTTTATTCTATTGATATTCAACTTTCACTAACAGTTTGGGTTTATTAAAATACTGTCATCACTGCAGAAAGAATTGGTGGTGGCTCTGGCAGTTGCCTCCTATTGACAAAGATGCATACTTGTCACAGACAAATTCATTACACAATAACCACTAAAGGCATACAGAACAGAAAATCACAATTACAGATCTGATCTTCAGTAGTGAGAATAATACAACATGATTGTGTACATAATTATGTACAACATGCTAATTATCCTCAAATTTCTTGATTCAGCACCGGGGTTTCTAACAATAGACCTGACATCTACAATACTCAGAATGAACTTTTACATATTCTGTCATGTTATCTCTCCTCAAAGCAGACCTTAGGTGTGAATTTAAATATATGATACACATGGCCAAATGAAGACCTGTTTAAAGTCTAGAAAGGCAAAATAAACTGATATGTAGTTGTAAAAATGTGACATAAACCTCTACATAGTTTTTTCATGAGTGATTTAAGCTTATACTTTATCAGACTAATCTCCTAGTTACATAAGAATTCTAGCTTTATTATAAAAAGTTCTCTTCATTTCATAAATCAGTCTTACAGCAGATTGTGTAAGTGGTATGTAATTGCAATGCTATATACATTGAGGCATCTTATTTCTGGGTATCCTCTCTGTCCTTGTAAGTTAAATGGGTAGCTATACTTACTGTTTGAAACTATTTGAGTTCTGCTTTATTTTTCCATGCTTCAGCCAAAGCCTTTTTAAAACTTGAAATCAAAACTTCTGACTTCCTAAGTACTGCCTTTATTTCATGAATTGTCCCCCAAAGTATGATCAGTTGTCTCTCTTAAAGATTATCATCACTAAAATTAAGATAACTGAATCTTCCCTGTAAACATGACATTCTCCCCCCCACAACGTTATTTTCTTTCAGGCATCAACAGGTTATTCAGAATAGCTTTCACTTTTGCTGTATCCTGTCTACTTTTAGTCTGAGATAATCATGGAAGAATAAAACAGGAGACTGCAGAACCAAATTCTAACTATTATCTAGTGACTTCTTCCATATGCAAGTAGCTCAGTAGCATACAGCAAGCTTTTCATTGTAGCTTATTTTTCCTGCCTGGTCACCAAGCACTGGCTTCTAGAGATTTAGTTACCAGTAAGTTAATTTTGTTTTGTACAGCTCTGTCAAAAGGCAGCCTGGAACTAAAATTTCAGTCTAGGCCCAAACTGGTGACTCAGGACATGTAATTCATCACACAATTTCTGTTGGCAATCAAAATCTTTTAACGCTTCATGCAATTTGGTGAAATTGTTTTAACAGTTTTAAAAATCTCGTTCTTGACAGCTCTCCAGTCAGAATATACTTTCCTTAGTGTGACCATTTTTTAAAATTACAACATAATTTTTAAACTAGTAGCATTTTGCTTGAAATCTTTGAGAAGTCTTAGTTGAGAATAATCACTGAATTAAGTCTGACTGTTCAGCAATGCTTAAATAAGCTATTATTGCAGGTTATGTTAAAGTCTTCATACTCAATTCAATACATAAATAGAGTTTGACTGCACTCAGATAACGTTAACCCAGTTTTGCATCAAGACATGTGCCATGACATATACTACAGTATCCAACAAGTACTTCAGTTTTCCTGGTAAAAATCCTATTTCATTAATGTATTCAGCTGTGCTTTCTTCAGAGGACTTGCCACTGTCCCTAAACAGCACAAGTATCAGACATTTTAATCTAAAAGCAGCACGACTTTAAAACAATATAGCTCCTCTCAGAAAAATCTCAATAATAACATGAACACTGACAAAGCCTTTAGCATCTTATGCAAAAAAGGCAGCACCCACGACCTTGTGGTGGGTGCCTAACCTAGGACTGATAGCCTAAAACATCATAAAAAGCAAGAAAGAGAAGCACTCAGGCTAGAATCTGATGCAACTTGCCACCAAAAAAAAAAAAAGAAATTAGATCAAGTGCAGTAACTGTATGTTATTTAAACACCGGTAAAAAAGATGCATGTTGCTCCCCCTTTCCCACTCCCACCTGCAGAAATTAAACTCACTCTGACTGCTGAAGAACAAAATAGATTTGGTAGGCCTAGACACAGTTCTTTGACTTACCATTATGAAAGAGCAGACCTGGCTGGGGTCACTCTTGTCTCCTGCCAAAGTACCTACACAAATGCTTGGTTTGGGATTTGAGGCAGTTGATATAAAAACCTATTCGTATTTTCCCCCTAATGCTTTACAACTGAAACAGCATCAACTCAGGCACCTGTTCAGATATTTTTATTAAGGCTTTGATCTGACCTGCCTGTGTTCTCTGATGTGAACAGTTTGTGAAGTTGTATTCATAGATATAACCTATGGAATAAATTCGGAGTCCTCCAGTTGAGTAAGCCATTTTCTCTGATGGCAGCTCTTTCATTTGTGCTGAAGAAAAGGTGTAATATGCAAAGAGCATTTACATGGCACTTCCACTGCAGGGTTCATGTTAATTCTGACAGGCTTAAGCCTTTTCCAAATTATTCTTTCATACAATGTAGTTCTTAAAATTTGTCATATCTTATGGTAACTACATAAAAAGACAACAAACTTGCAATTGCACCCTACTGAATCTGGGAGTTCAGCAGTGAGGAATCCAACAATATCAGTAAGATACCAAAGACTGAACCAGACTTGTGACTGGAACTCAGAGATTCCACAATCTCCTTTGCAGCCGAGAAAGACGTGTGTCTGCATTTTCAGTCTGTCAATAATCACTGACATTGCTTGCTTTCTATGTGTAGGATTTTAACAACTATCTTCCTTTTCATTGCCTTAAGGTGGATGAGATTGGAAGGTGTGCAAAATAAGGTGATATGCATTTGTGCTGGTTTTATGCATCAGCAAAAAAGAAAATGCAATCTCTACACCTGGTAGATAAGAACAATTTCCTTGGCAATAGAGGAAGTTGAAGATATAAAACCAAAATCAAATGTATTTCATATACTGTATTTATAAAAATAGAGATGTGTATGTACAAGAATAGTTTTCTTCCTCCTTAATCTCATTTTTGGTTCATCAAGACTAGCTACAGATTGGAAAAACAGACACCAGAATAGTCAAAAAACTTTTATTGATAAGTCATAAACTTTTATATATAAATATATGTATATACACACACACGCTGCTCTCTTTGTAAGAGACTGAGATGCAAATTATTGATCAATTATTAATCATTTTAAAGAAGCATAACAGAATACATTGCCATTATAAAAAACAGAACACAGGTTCTAAATCCCTCAGTTTTTATTTTTAAAATGATTTCTTAAATCAACATTCATCATAGATATGGTATTTCATTCTACAATGCTGCCAGTTGCTGCAAACTACTGAGCCAGTCTCACAATATCCATGCTAATCTTGTCTGTAATGTCCCACAATCAGTATCCTAATTCCAACGTGAAGCTACAAGCCCCCCCAAAGTGCACAGAGAACTAAGCAGTGAGCTTGTTTGTTTATTTTCCTATCTGTGTCATTTGGTTAAGTGGCTCCACCTGCTGTTTTGATAACTACTAAAATGAAGTAGTATTTAAAAAAAGAGAAAAAACAAAACAAAACAAAAACCAACACACAAACAATGCCAGAATTCTGACTGCAGTAAAATGAATTATCAGTTGTGGCCTTGCCCCCGTATGAAATTATCCTGACAAACAAAAATCTTTAAGACAGTATTTGAAAATATAACATTCATCTTTACCAAAAAAACAGAGCCATGGCCCACTTCTGGAAGTGGGAGGGAAAAGGACAAAAATCTCACTACTTAAATGTAGTATGAAGCAGTTTCAGAAAAGCAGCTACACCTGCACAGGAAGCCTTCTCCTGTTTCATTCATCTTCAAGATGCAAGTCTAATAACTTGCTAAATCAGTTACCTTTTTACTTCCTTAATGGTTTGCATCTACTTGCACAGCAGCTTTTAAACTCTCCGACGACCCTAAATGTATTGAAGACAAAAAAAATTCTAGAGGCCTTAGAGCTCACAACTCCAATAAATTTGCACTTGTTACTTGTGAAAGCTCCAAGGCGTTTTTGCACGGAAAATTAGGTTCTCAGTGACCCAACGCAGTATTAGAAACTTGACTTCTATGAAGTTCACACATTTGGCCACCATGCTACAAGACTGCAAACCTGTTACAGCGGCACTGGTTGACCTGGATTCCTCTCTCTTACAGGTGTGCAGATAAGGGGTGAACAAGGACCCCCTGGTCCCCCAGGCCCTATTGGACCAAGAGGACAACCAGGACCTGCAGGAAAGCCAGGGTTTGGAAGTCCTGGTCCCCAAGGCCCCCCTGGTCCCCCAGGACCACCTGGATTCTCTGCGGTTGGAAAGCCAGGCATGCCAGGACTACCAGGAAAGCCAGGAGACAGAGGACTAAACGGTGAGAAAGGAGAAGCTGGACCTGTTGGGCTCCCAGGAGCAAGAGGACCGCAGGGACCCCCTGGCACTCCTGGCCCTGCAGGACTGTCTGTTCCTGGCAAACCAGGACCACAAGGCCCTCCAGGAGCTCAGGGGCCAAGGGGCCTCCCCGGGGAGAAGGGAGAGCCAGGTATCCCTGGTATAAATGGACAAAAGGGAGAAAATGGATTTGGAGTTCCAGGTCGCCCGGGTAACAGGGGTCTTCCAGGCCCACAGGGACCCCGGGGCCTCCCTGGTCCTGCCGGCGTAGGGAAGCCTGGTGAAAATGGTCTTCCAGGTCAGCCAGGTCTGAAAGGTGACAGAGGTTTACCAGGTGCACCCGGAGCAGCTGGTATCCCAGGTCCCCAGGGTCCCCCAGGAGAACCTGGAGAAGCTGGCATTGGCAAACCCGGGCCAATGGGACCACCAGGAGCAGCAGGCATCCCCGGAGCCAAGGGACACCCTGGACCTGCAGGCTTGCCTGGATCCCCGGGTCTCCCAGGATTTGGAAAGCCAGGATTGCCAGGGATGAAGGGACACAGAGGGCCTGAAGGTCCTCCTGGCCTTCCAGGACCTAAAGGAGACCAAGGCCCAGCTGGTGTGCCAGGAGAACCAGGGCCTGCTGGGCCACCAGGCAACAGGGGCCCTCAAGGGCTCAAAGGCTTGCCTGGGGAGAACGGGCTACCTGGGCCCAAAGGGGACACGGGGCCTGCAGGCCTCCCGGGATTCCCAGGGGCCAAGGGTGAACGAGGTCTGCCAGGCTTAGAGGGAAAACCAGGTTACCCAGGCGAGCAGGGCCTTGCCGGTCCTAAGGGACACCCAGGTTTCCCAGGTCCAAAAGGCGACACCGGCCATGCTGGGCTACCCGGCTTGCCTGGTCCAGCGGGCCCACAAGGAGTTAAGGGAGTGCCAGGGATCAACGGCGAGCCAGGCCCCCGAGGGCCTTCAGGAATACCTGGGATCAGAGGCCCCATCGGCCCCCCCGGCCTGCCAGGAGCCCCCGGTGTGAAGGGCGAGCCGGGAGCACCGGGGCTGCCAGGCCCAGCAGGTATTTCTACCAAAGGTTTAAGCGGACCCATGGGACCGCCTGGACCCCCCGGGCCTAAAGGCAACAATGGAGAGCCTGGCTTGCCAGGCCCCCCAGGTCCTCCTGGTCCCCCCGGCCAAGCCGTAATCCCCCAGATGCCTGAAAGCTACGTTAAAGCGGGAGAGTCTCGGGAGCTATCAGGAATGTCCTTCATAAAAGGAGGAGCAAACCAAGCTCTCACAGGGATGCCAGTGTCTGCTTTCAGTGTCATCCTCTCAAAAGCCTACCCTGGGGCAACAGTCCCCATCAAATTTGATAAAATCTTGTACAATAGGCAGCAACACTATGACCCCAGAACAGGAATCTTCACCTGCAGGATCCCTGGACTGTATTATTTCTCCTACCACGTACATGCAAAAGGAACAAATGTTTGGGTTGCACTCTACAAAAATGGTTCCCCACTCATGTACACCTATGATGAATACAAGAAAGGATACCTTGACCAGGCTTCTGGCAGTGCTGTCATCGATCTCATGGAGAACGATCAAGTATGGCTCCAACTACCCAATTCAGAATCTAATGGCCTCTATTCCTCTGACTACGTTCACTCTTCTTTCTCAGGTTTCCTATTTGCTCATATCTAACAACATCCCACTTACACTGTCCTGACACTCTCTCCTTCAGAACACATTAACTGGGCGTTGATCCGATTCGTTATTAGCAGGTCATGCAACTTCAATTTTGCAACAGAAATGGAGGAGGGAGTGAGAAGGTGGAAGAGATTGGTTCAAACTTAGTAGAATAATATTGTATTTTTAGAGAATTGTCATAAGAAATGTTTCAAATGATGATCAATTGTCCAACTGAATGCAACATTAAAATTTTATGAATTAATATAATGCACCAGCCTCTTTTTAAAAAAAGAAAAAGAAAAAAAAAGAAAAAAAAAAGGAAAATCAGAATTTCTAGCTATCACTTCTCATAACACATAAAGTAGCCATTTGGGACTCTAGAACATACTTCTATATACTTGAATTAACTGAAGGTATTATTCGAAGTAAAGAGTCTCAGATACACCAGAGTGATCGCAACAGATGGATAATATACTTCAGGAACATTCTGCTACCTGCCAGCTTCATCTCTAAACTATCAAACAGGAATCAAAAAAATAACTCTAATACAGTGCATACCATGTCACAGTTTTAATTTAGTTCCACTTTTCTTATTAATGAGTAACTACCTTGGAAAAAGGTAGATTTACACATTATTACCTGTTACAGAAGATCTAAGACTTTCACAATATGAGAAAGCAACCAGATTTGAAATCCACTCAGCTTTCTTTGATGCACATTTTGTAATCTGCAGCAACAAACTAGTTCAATATTTTTTAAACTCCTAACATTCTGTAAAACTACAATATTCAGAGTACTGTAAAACAACTATCACCAAATCCAGACATTAAGAACGTATCTTCACAAGCGTGCAGACACTCACAAAATCGAGCAGCTTTACCACCCCAAAATTGGAGACAATCTTTGCACTGATTTTCCTTGAACAGTTCATTCCTTTAAAACACGATAGTCTTATTAAAACTCATATGTAAGCCTTACTTACGTGTTAAATTTATCAGATGATGACAGTAATTAGTCAGTAGACATATTTACCATGCCTGCATACACTCATGTGTTACAAACATTAGACATTAATCTGTTATGGCACTATGAAAAGTTAATGGTGCTTATAAATTAGGAACCCATAATACTTTGATCACACATTTCTTCCAATTATAGTTACCATTCATGTGCTTTAAAAGTATCATAGACATCAAAACCTTATGAACTCTTAAATTATTATTTTTAGCTTCATTTCTTTAAACAGAAGTTTTTAATCACTTGTACTAAAAAGTGTGTAGGCCTATGGTTAAAAGTTTTGTGATATTAACATTTCTTCATGAAAGCAGAACCTAAGGCTTATTATGTTGTATGCATTTGAAATGAGCAATTGCCTAAGTACTTGATAATACATTGGGATTAATAAAAAAAGCAAGCACACCTTTAGGTTGATCCATCATCAGCAAAACCATATAATGTTTTGGAAACTGTAAAGAGCTACCAAGAAAGTAACTCTGCAGAATTGTTTCTTCTCCTCTTATAAAGTGCTGCTGGATAAGGAAGCCTGTGGTTTAGGCTATACTTCAGTAAAATAATAAATGCTTAAGTAGAGAGTGTAACATGAGATCTGCTTATTTTAGCAGCCAAGTAGACCCTAGGCAAGCAAATTGGTATTACTATTATAAACACTGCACACAGATGTTTGTATGGAAATAATACAGTGGACAGTACCACAATTTATAAGTAGCAACCCTGAGCTACTTTTCTTTCAAACCAAAATAAAACTGAAGACACTTGAGTTTGAATTGTCTATCCCCACTTTCCTACCTTCCTGTTTTAGGCCAAATATTAATTACAGCTCTCCTAAGAATCATCTCTTTTTTGCACTGAAAATGTTTGCCTGTGCAGCCACTCGCATTAGTTCAACAGCACTTTCCAGTATTTAAACACAGCACGTGATGCTGCCCATACATTCAACCAATCTGGCACTTTTGTTTCAGAAACAAATAGAGGGACTGGGTACTGGAACTGGAAAATACTGCTCAGTAGTTGTAAAGTTTCTGGTTAATTGCTTTACAGATGAAACATATGCCAACGCACATGTTTAAAATTGCTGGAGATTCTTGGTGCTCTGCAGTACATTACTGACCTGTGATTCCAATTAAGTACTCTCTGCACAAGAAACTGGGCCCAGACAGTACTCTTAAAAGCACAGTTCACTAACCCTTATTGTCCATCCACTTTAAATAGGGTTTTGTCCTTTAAAGTCTTTGTTCTTTGAATTTATGAAGTCTCTGCTGCCATACTACACTTTTTACTTCCAAAATGAAATATTATTTTATGAATCGACTTAAAATAGTACAAAAATATTATTTTAATTATATAACCACAGATGCTATGGTTTTCAAAAGTGTCAGGAAAACTACAGGGAAAGACAGTCATCCAAGAGAAAAAGTGGCCTTTAAGAAAAGAAATTTTACAAAATTCTGCTTTAAGAAGTTATATTAGGCAACATCCTCCTACAAAAACTATTCATTTTTCTGTCAAAAAAAATGGAAATAATTATATGGTACTTCAAGCCCTCATCACTCCTCTGACAATCAAACTTTGTTTCCATAATGTACTGTGGACCTCTGTTCAAGCAGTTCATATAGTGTAAAATACATTGCCACATGACGTTTCCTTTAAAAATGCTCTTTACTAATGTCTACAGAATATACACTAAATGAAACACGTACAAGGTAATGTTAATCACCTTAAAGTTGCAAAATATTCCAGTAATAAGTTAAAGATTAACAAAAAGGATTCTCAAGTAACTTACTGCTCAACTTGGATATCAATTGCAGAAGGCATTCTTGCAGGTATTATCAGGTAAGAAATTAACATTTTGCAAATACGAATATCTGTGTTCATTGCTATGTGACATCACGCTTTTCTGATAGTATTGTTTAATAGATTCTCCCAATTTTTTTGAATTATTCTTCACAAAGGAAGGTCTGAATAACACCAGACTATTTGGGAACCCTCTTACCTTTCATCTGCAAGACTCAGTTCTTCACTTCTTTAAAAGTAGATGAATGGGTTAATACCCTTCGTTAAACTGAGTCAGGACAATCATGCCTATCCGAAAGAGCCATCCAAAAAAAATATCACAGGGCAATTATCTAAGGCAACTACCATGGCTAACACAATGAAAAGCAAAATTCACCAGACACCTGATTACGATCAAAGAAATGTGAAAAAGAGAAGGGACACAGAGAAACAAGGGCATAATGACAAACCAAAGTGAACTGCAAACACTTAATGGATTTCAAAAAATAAAATGCTCAGTCGTTCTGCTCCTTCCCTGACAATGGCACTACTAAGACAGCACTTCAATTTGGGAACTTTGCGTCTCCTCAAGTGACCATAAGTTTGCTTTTGAAATTTTACCTTGACTAACTGTTAATGAGCACTGCTCTTCTCTGAAGAGTTAAAGTCTCTACAAGGCATCAAGAGCACAGAGTTAAGTCAAGAGGCTGTGGTTTGCAGGCCAAGCTCTGGGCTAAGAAAGGCGGTGGGGCTTCCTGATATGTAGACGTTGGGTTGGAGCCAGGTTTAGGAGTTTCCTCAGGAAGGTCTATTAAGCTTGCAACTGAGGAAAAAAAAATAGATCTCTTTGGCACAAACTTGTGACAGAAGATTAGGACCATTACTCACATTTCACAGAGGGATGTGAAGCAAAAATAGATACTCCATGGGAATATCACATGTAAGTGATACAGGAAGAAATTATCTCTGGTTCTCCTGACTCACTGTTCAGTGCTTTATTTACTGGACCACGTTATTAAAAGGAAGATCACCATGAAGACTTTCAAAGTGATGCATGACTGAGTATAGCACTTTCATGTATTAAAATATTTAAGTAGTGTATACAATCTGCATTATTTCACTTCTGTTTCTACAGACCTTTAACCAAAATAACTCATGTTTATCAGGTACTATGTTTTCTTATATTTGCAACATTGTTGTGCATGTGCCTCGGCTTTTATAACAGCGAATGAGGTGTATCAAATTAGGTACCAATTCTCATAGGAGTTAGAAAGGTTTAACTCGTATCACACATCTGTTTGAATGCAGATTCTATGCTCACATACACAAAGAGGTACCTGATAGATAGGTATATGCATAAATATACACACGTATGCACTCATATATAAATAAAACCAAGCAATTATTTATACGAGTTCAAAGATTTGACTTCAACTTTTGTTTGATCTAATTAATTTCCAAAGAACGCTTTTAAAAATTATTCTTTTAGCCAAAGGCTGCATGAGCCACATCTTTTAAAACAAAGAGCTTTCATGATTTGAAAAGATTTAGCATTTTGTTAATAAAATAATGATAGTTGATTAGGATTGGTTTAATGTCAGCAGAAAACAAAGCATATATTTACTTCATGCATGACTGAGTTCCTAGGGGAATTCTTAACTACCAATCACACCCTAAGCTCCACTGGAAACAAAAGAACAACAACCAAACAAACAAAACATTTTAGGATTATCTTGTTGTCTTTTACAACATGCACCCTGAGGTAAACTTCTATTTTTGTTTGGAACCTCTACAAGATAATTTTGTCAATTACATTTGAAAGGAATACAGCAAGTAGTACAGCTCTGGTGAGCAAAAGGTAAGTTTTAAGAGTCCAAACTATATCTGTGCCCAATGAATGTTGCATTAACTGAGGTAATTCTTTAGGAAAATACTGTCAGCAAAATGATACAGAATTCTGAACTGAGCTGCATGTAATATTTTTGGAAAAAAAAATCATTTAAAATAATTTCAGTAAGTGTATGCACAAACAGGATGGTTAACTTATTATCAACTTATTTTATATGCCTAATAGAAACTCAGAAATTAATTCTGTGAAAGAAGAAAAATAATTTCTAGCTGAAGGGTATCCAAGATGTTTTCCAACTCTAATTTATATTACAGTATTCTAAGGTTGGCTCTGGGTGGAGGAAGACTATTATTAAAAATAAATAAATAAATAAATCCTCTGCAATTTTTAGTGAGTTTATAACAAAATACCAATCCTCTCACTCTTGTGTCAATGCTACATGAAGAATTCTAATCAAAACTGTGGTGGTAAAGAAAATTATCAAATATTAGTTAGTACTTTAATTTTTTTCCAAATGCATTTCTGATATCATTTATGAATACAAGAACATATGAAAAAGAATCAAAATACAGTTCAAGAATGTCCACATTACCATACCAATCATGGCAAGAAACCATTATTCCTCTAAATTCAGTGAAGCACATCACAAGTGTTATTAAAGAGAGCAAATCAGTTTCAGCTAAATGAAATAGTAATGATAAAGATGTTCTATTCCAGGATAAACACGTGTCTACTATACAACTATTTGTAAGCTTGAAAAGTAAAAGCTGTGTAGAGTAGTTTACAGTGTGCTTGCAAATGTATTTGCTCTGGCAAGCACATGTAATATTTTCAGCTATTATGGGTCAGTTTTCAGTGAGCCCACTTACCTTTAAAAGCTGTTATTTTATAATTATGCTGGATAGCAGCTACCATGTCCTTCCAGAAGTCATATTTTTTCTGACCATCATGCTGTAAGTCAAAAGGAACCTAGTCATTATATCAAATATCAGGCTATTTTGAGCTTTTATATTGAAACAGCGACAGGAACACCATTAATAAACAAAACTATTTGGAGTAAACCAGTAGACAGCTTAACTTTGGGAAACTGCAGACAAGTTATCTCCCTACTTCAGAAGGTTATGGTGAGGGGAGAAAGGGGGAAAAGCAGAAAGGATTCATATCTGTGAGGAACTTAAAAACGTTACAGCAAAGGAGGTCATTAGACAGAACAGCAATTTACTAAATGAGCCATCCCACTGACATTTGGGAAAAAGAAGTGCCTAGAGCAGCAGATACTGTACTTCATTAGCAGGCTGACATTATCTACAGCCTGGCACTCGTATACACCTTCTACTCTCAGAACTGGCAAAAACCCTTTGCTGTAATTTAGAAGTGATGCCCTTCTGCCAACAACTCCACCCCGAGCACCGTATAAAACATTCACCCAGAAGCCAGGCTGAGCAGCACTGCATTGCATTGTACTCTGAAGACTGCCAAACCCCAGCTCTGGCAGAAGGACAGAGGAAGGTGATCTGGGCTTGTGAGCAGCCTCTCGCCATTCCTAGAAAGCTGCCCAGGACACAGATGAGCTCCAGCTGACCTCAGCCGCCCTCCCAGCACCTCACCAACGGAGAGGAAAAGATTCTCAACCAGCTGAGACCCACAGTACTCTCAAATGCCACAAACTTGATGAGTGTTGAATTAAACAGATGCAATTATGCAGCCAGCCAATATTTCAGAGGTGCTGATATTAAGAGGTGCTCGGAGATATAAGGTAACGTGGCAGCAATAACGCAGGTGGTGTAGCCTCTGAGTTTTTACCCATGGGAAGTATCTTTGTAGTGTTGTTACAGGCTTTCCACACCTATGTTAGGATAAACTTCAAGGCAACTGTTACCAGATTTCACAGCACTGCTGCCCTGTGTCCTGACCACTGTACTTATACCAGAATGACGACTCATTCTGTAAGCATAAAGCGTTTTCTAAAGAGGGAAACATTCAGAAACCGAAAAAAAAAAAAAAAAAAACACAAAAAAAAACCCAATACCACAAACCCTAACATCACCAATCAAACCCACGTAGCTTATATGTACGGAAGTAAACTGCTCTTTCAGGACTAATCTGCCATGGAGGCTTCCAGAGGAACAGTCTGCCCTTAATCTCACAACCAGCAAGTCACACAAACACGGCCTTTTGTGCACGATTGACAAGCACTATGGCAGTCTGCTTATCATCCACTAGCTCTACAGGTTAAGAGCAGGAAAGACACAATGCTGTGGCTTTCAGGTTTTTTTTTTAAATCCATTCCTATAGCAAACTGCCACAGAAATACATAAAAGAACTAAAAGAGAAAAGGTTTCATATATGTCAAGCTTCAGTTAGCTGCTAACCAAGGTCATTATTCAAAACTGTGTTCAAGAGATGCTGGGGAACACCAGCATACACTAGCACTAACCTTATTAACTAGCACTAACTAGCTCCCCTTATTCTCCACATGGCTGACTTGCTCCTTATTTTGTTTGTTTTTTTTCTTTTTTTTTTTTTTATTTGTTGCTTTTAAAAAATCAGTGCAATGAAGCTAACAGTTCCTCAGAGTGCTGTTTTGAAGACAGATGGATACTAGTTTAAAATTGGGCACACTTCCTTCAAAACATTTGACCTCCGAGAAGACTAAAATAACTGTCAAACTAATTCGCTGCAAATCTACAGCTGTTGCATGAGACATACAAGAAAACAGACAGATTCCCAGAAAGCAGAGAGAAAACTGTGTGCATGCCCATGCAGTCCACCATGACTTTGGTGTGATTATCAAATGCAGTTTCATTAGCTGAACTATCAGACAAAGCAGTATTTTGTATAGCTTTTCAACGTGAAGATCCAAAACACCAAGGAGCTCCTCTGCTTTTAAAATACGTAAGAGTTCTGGCTCTGGACACAGCAAAAGCAGATTAATTTTTGATAGCGTAGAGCTGCTCAGCATCCGACTCATGTCTAAACCCATTTTGAATCCAAACCTTGCAGTTCTCCCATCTGTTTCCAATAGAAAGCTTTCCTGATCCTATAAAGTTTCTGGAAATAGTAGGAAAGTAGCCCTTACTAAAAAGGCTTCCAGAACAGGAAACAGAAGCCTCCACTTCCTTTTACAAATGTGGGAGAAAAAAACGTGATGGTTTCTAACCCTTAGGATGCAGCATTTTGTAGGCATGAGTGCTGAAGAGGCCTATCACCTCCTGCCTTGCATCGTTCTCATCTGGCTGATGCTAACCTTCCAAGGAATTACTGTAGCCCTCCTGCTGAAACTGGGCCAACATCCGGTAAAATATTCAAGAACCGCTCGCTGATAAAGAGGGTGCATGACCCACTTCTGGTTGCTCTCTGGAGAAGCAGCACAGGTCTAATTCTCTCTGGCTGATCCAGGGTCAGTGTTCCAGCTTGGAAACTAGTAACTGAATGTGAAAGTTTATAACACACATGCCACGACATGATTTCTCCCTCATTAAATAGGTGATTTGTGCCAAGTCTAAATTAAGTATAAAATAAAGAATTACAAATACAGGTGGTATATCCAAGACAGGGTTCTAGGCTGTGAATGGCTTAGAGGAAGGATATTAATCAGGCACAAAATTAAGAGTCTTATGGTGCACCTGACCTCAGTGCTTCCTGATAAACTAGCTTTAGCTAACCCTTCGTGCAGCGCTTAGACATAGGCAGCAAACTACTCAGCATGCTACACTGGAGTGGAGGCTAAAGCATCACGTCAGCTGATACCCAGAAGGATCCCAGATACCCATCTCCCAGCTCTGAATTTCACTCTGCAGATAAAGTTTAGTATTGGCAATTTTCAGTGCTGCAGCACTTCGGTACCTTGAGACAGAAGATTACATGAATACTCTTTTGACACCAATATACTTACTGTATGACAAGAACCCTCTCCTACCCCCAGCTGCACACAAGTTAAAGATTCAAGCCTTCTTTAACATAACCAAATCAACTAGCATCAAACATCAAAGGTGGGATTTAGGACATTTTAATCTAAAAAGCACCGAAAAAGGTTCAAGTAATTCTATTTTCTGCCAAGAATTTAACCCACTGTTTAGCAAAGTGAAAAAAAAAAAGGGATACTATTCTAGAGGTATATCTGTGTACACAGCTCAATATATTTAAGAAAAAAACAAGTTTAAAAAAGGATGGAATTAAGCTTTCAACTCATTAACACCTTGCAAATTATCAAACCATGTTATTCAGAAGACTTACTTTAGATTTAATTCAAGTATCATTGAGTATAATCAAAGGAGATTAAGAACTATATTCTGCATATCACAGAGTAAACTTGAAAAAACAGTGCATTTCTATTTGTATCCTAGTTATTTGTGCCCTCTGGTGGAAGTACGTTTTTTTGAACATGTCATGTAGCTCACAATTATCTTCAGAGACAACTTTAAGTCTGACATTAAAAATTTGAAACATGAAAAAAGCTGAAGACCTTGCTGTTGTTCAATACGTTATTTGTATGCATTTAGTAATGAATGCAGGGAGTGTGGTGGGGGAAAAGAAAGAGTTTCAAACAATTCAGTTCTTACCTGATCTAAGTTGTCCACAATCCTTGCACACAAGAGAGCTCCTGGCAAGTCAAAATAATTATCATACATATAGTACTGAGCTGGAAAACAAAATAATAGAAAAAATGTCTAAATTTTTAATCCATATTGTATGCTTTAATCACAAATAAAAAAATACATTTAAATAATAAGATAGGCGCCTACTTGGATTTTACTGGTAATAAGCATTATCTGCTTCTCAATCTCTGTTAGCCTTTATTCCCACTTCTGATTCTCATAGCTGGCAACTGAAAGTTGTTCACCTATATCAAGGCAGTGAGATTTTAAAAATACATTTTAAGGTTCTAAAAGTTAAGGTGGAAGAGATAGCGGAGAACCCTGCATTTTAAGAGTCAGGACAGTATCATTCAACTATTTCAAAATATCTATTTTCCTAGCACTGGAATCATAAAGAAAGGGTTTGAGAAGTTGTGTCAGAAACATTTGGACAGGTCTTGCACATAGCCCTGTCCTTTGCACACACATGCTGCAGACAGCACCACAGCCCAAGGGGAAGCATGCCTACATTATTACATGAGCCCCCAAAACAGAACTAAATCAGGAGGGTGCAAACATCCCCCCCCCCCCACAAGACGGAGGTCACATTCAACAACTCTTTCCTAGGAGTTAAATGATTTTTAATAAGTGAATTTTTTTTGTATTCACCATCTTGTTCTTTAATATACCTAAGAGACAGCACAGACAAGTCAGCAAAACCTGGATTAACATTCACAAAAGAGACCGACTGCATCTTTCAATTAATAAATAAGGCACATCTGCTATACTGACCAAAGGAAACTTTCCTCTTCTACCCTGTTGCAAAAGCTTACCTGCAGTTTAGAATAAGCATCACAAACAAGTTTATGACAGCAAAATCTCAAGGAATATATCTCCATTACATAGCACAATGCAACTTAACTGAGCACTTTATGTGTATCACTGACAAATGCCAAGATCAAAGTAAAACAGAGAGGAAGCACAGAGCAAGAAAGCAAACCTAGCCACTGGTGCCTCAAGTGACTCCCATCTTAAAACCAAGAAAATTCAGTTGTAGGAGGAGAAGTTTTGTTTCCAGGCCTGCTCTGTTCTTTGCACCTGGCACCGAGACCTCCAGTAACAGCACCAATAGCAGGGAGTTAAAAATTAAGAAAAATTTAAGATTTGACACATATGTCCTAAATGAAATAGGCTGGTAATCTCACTCTACTTCATCGAGTAACAAAGTGCTCGTCTCTATAACCAAAACACACCTATAATGTCAGTTCATTTATCTCATCATTGGTGATATAATTTGAAAATACAAAAAAAAAAAAAAAAAAACAAAACAAACACCAAAACAAAACAACTCCCCCAAAACATTTACAGTTTTTTTCCAGTAATTCTCAGCTCAGGTATTTTTAAATATTTGTTGTAAGAGCTAACAGTGTGAGGCACTGAAGGGGCCAGACCAATTTCAAAGAGAACATGCTAAAGTATAGCTACCTGAGCGGGAAACCATTCCACTGACTGTATTAAAATGCTTCCACTCCCTCCTTCCATATGTCTCCAGGACCTCTTCGGATGTCATGCTCTTTGTACCATGGCTTGCCCTATTTGATGCATTAAGTTATTTAGAAAAACAAAAAAGAAGAAGGTTAAAAACAGCCAACTACTCATTGTGGCAAAGTAATGCATTGCAACTGAATACTGAAGGGCACGCAAGCTGATCAAAAGTAACTCTCTTTGTAAATTAGAAGTTTCCCAGGACCTAGGCTTTTATCATATACATTTCAGTCCTCGATAAAAGCGTTACTACACAAAGGTTTGGTTGGCTGGAGGCATGGCTACTGTGCCTCACCTGCTAACACAATCACTCTGGACTGCCTGAATGTTCCCAATTGTGTGAGGACACTCGCTATACTTGAGCTATCAATATACACTGCAAAATAAAACACAGTGCAGAAAGCCTATACATCATTCTGAAGCCTGGTAACGTTCACAGAATGCAGGACAGAATTATAGAAAAATGCTAGTTTGAGCCTTGCAAGCAGCTGTGTAACAAAGAAGAATGCACAAGCCTTTTTAGGAATTAAGAATCAACTAGCCCGACCATCAAATTGGGCCCCAAAGGAATGCACAGACTCTGGTTTTGAAGCAAATGCAGGCAATGCTAAGAAAAGTAGCCCTGTACCACTCTTCCCTTCAATGTGTTATTGAATTCTGCATTCAGTACTCTGAAATTCATGGTACTAAATGAATTTCAGGACACACAGCAGAGACTTACAAGTATTTCTTCCCTTCTTTCAATGAAATCAGATTTTTCCTAACATCTTCAAGCTCCTTCTCCCACACACTATCAGAAAAAATAAAAAAGTAGAGTCTATCTTGCCTACTAAATTACACAGATTATCATTTTGGAAAGAAAGTAAGAGGGAAATGGGACGGGCATTGATATACTTTAGATATATTTACTTTTCAGATTTGTGAATCACAATAGCAGTCTTCTATGTTTAAAAAAAAAAACGGAGGGATAGAGGAACTAAGGATGTACTAAAATGATGACTAAAGGCAAAATATAGCTTTTAAGAGGAAAAAACCCAGAATTTTGAAAGCAAACATGTCAGTTTCTGTGTTTAATTTACTTCAGGCTACTTAAATTATATGTTGTAAGCCTGCAGAATTTTGAATGCATATTATCAAAGATGATAATGCTCCTGTCATTAGCATTAGTCATTAGCACTGACTCTGAGTCAGTTTACTCATAATCCGAAGAAAAACCTTACCCTGGATCTTAGCAGAACTGGACAAAGAGTACATTGGTAGCCACTGAAAAAGTGAATTTAGTTTCAAGATCCGTATGCCCTCAGAGTCTTAGATGTTTATTAAAAGTGAGATATTCTTTACTAGCAACTAACATGGAAATATTATGAAAAGACTGCATATGTAGCATTAAGAGAAAATGAGCATCACCGAAGAGTGTTTAAACTTTTACATCTAATAAACGAAAGTGTGCTGAAATTAGTATTTTAAACATTCAATAAAACTGAGAGATGGCTTTCAGAAAGAGGGTAAAATTTTGGTGTCTGTTTAACAATCTAAACTTATTGTCAATATTACCTTAAAACTGTTCCATCTTCTGCAAGTTTCAGGAAGTTTCCTTCTTCAATGTCCAACACTAATCCTTTGCAACTAAGAATAATTTTATTTTAAGGAAGAAACAAACAATTAATGCTTTCAGGTGAATGCCTTGTTATGTATCAGTGAAACGCAGTTACAGAAGCTATACAATGATGCTACACAAAAGCAGTAAAGTCACGACCCTTCAAATACTTCCACATTTGAACAATGCTCTATCTATACAATTATACACTACTACAATGAGGACTGGATTTCACTTACATAGCAAATTGCTACTAAATAAATCCAGTTCCATTGTTCAGTGAGTTAAATGCCTGTTCATATGAGGTTGAAGGATTAAGGTCCAAACATATACAACTAAGAAATGTGATATTTAAGCCAATTCTATTAAAGAAATATATTTTTTCCTGGTGGCAACTCCCCTACTTACTATTCCTAGACTGATAACACCAATTGTTAAGGCAGAGAGGGGTACAATATTGTTCTAAATGAGGAAAATGAATATCCAAGGAACACAATAAGCAGAAGCCTTGTCAAGGTAGCCAGCACTAACAAGGTGAAGAGTTGACAGCATAGGACAGACACTCGACAAGAGTTCCTAACTCTCCTAGTAAATCTGTACCTTCCAAATAATTGAATCTGTGTTCGCTTAGGTTGCTTGAAAAATTAATTCAGAGTCCAGCAGCTGGAATAATACTGAATAAATGAGACTGAAGAAGTAACGGCACCTTCATCCTCTGTTATAAGGTACCCAAAGAAAAGAAGATATGACATGAAGGCAGCAAACTCCAGCCTTTCATGAATGACACCTGGGTGAGTAGCACCAACACACAGCTACCAGCACTGCTGACTTACAGGTGACATTAATGAACCTCCAGCCCCAGTAAGGGACTGAGGCTGAGATATGTAGATCTCAATAAAAGATTTCACGCACCAGAGGCCTCAAAATATGAGAAATACAGACACATCGCTTGTCTCATGAAAGTTGAAATTGATCTCGTTGGAAACCTGTCCAAATGCTGAATTGTAAAAATAACTGATCAAAACTGTTACACAATACTGCACGCATTACCTAAAAAGCACTGTGTTTCTCCTAAAAAATGTAGTGATTACCTGGCCTTCAAGCCCCCACCCCCCATGGCGTAGGTATCAACCTATTAAAATCGGAAGATCAGAGATTTGCATTCAAGCTCCTGCTCAGAGACCACTGAGCTCAGAGCAGGAACTCGCATCTTAGTCTTCTGCATCACAGCTTTGTGCCTGAGGTGCCACCCAAGGGCCATCTCCCACGCACGTCACCTTCCCTTGGTTCCTCAGAAGGCCATTGGGATTAGTCTGCCAGGACTGTCAGGATAAAAATGACTAAATTCTGATGATTACTGGATTTACCAGTTGAATCGAAGGTAGAAGACAAAGAAGATATATAAAACAAGAGAGTAAGTCAGGCTAAAAGGCTTGCGTCTAGACAGCTAGAAGCACAGACAAAGCAAGCTTGGATGCCCAGTTCTCTCAAAATACCATGTTAGAAGTATCTCATGGCAAATACTCGTTTGAACCAGTATTTAAAACTGTAATTTTGGATTCATCTATTGGGCTTGACAATTATAACAACAACCGCCTAATAAAAGAAGTTCTTTTCCAAGCTTTACAAAAGTACAGCATAAAAGAAGTTTCTGTTATTTTTAATGTACTCACCAGAAGTCTAAGCTGTCTGGAGCCAGAGTCAGGAGGTCTTCATCATAACCCTTCTCTGCTACCAGATACTGGGCAAAACTATCATATATTAGCTACGAATTAAAAAAATATATGCGTTAATTATATTGCTTAAGTGAGACCAAAGATACCGCTTCCCTGGCAAGTGGCAAGATGTGAGTGTTAGTACCTCCTAAGCAAAATCAAACCAGGGAGCTAGGAGCACTGTCCCACTGCCTCCACTACCAGGAAATAATGCCCAGGGTTATTTCTGTCGTGGCTGTAAAACAGCTCAAGATGCTCACACGACAATTCTGGTGCAATGTGTCCAGCATAACCAAGTTTACAGTGTTCTGCCTTATTGCCCCTGTGCTCCAAGACTGTTGGGAAACCCAGATGGTAAGTACTTAAGACTAGTCACTACTTCCCCCTGCCACAATCTTTTTTTGTTTTGTTTTAAATTTTAAATGTCACACTTACCAAGGCTCAACAAGTAGCTTCCAAACCAATAAACAACTACCCTTAGGGGACATTTTAAAAGTATTGGAAGGAGCATATGTTGAGGGGCAGACAACTGCTAAGCAAATTGTTAAGTTCAAAAAGAACACTTTTAAAGCCTGGTACAACAGTGAGAGATTTAACATACTGGGCTGGTAAAGTTGTACAAGAAGGTATGCACAGATGCTGCCAGGTCCTTAAAGACCATCCAAAAATAGTAATTGTTCCCTTCTTCTCATGGTTCTTTCATTAAAGCTGTTCCCTGGCCTTTTTTTTTAATTTAAAAAAGCCGCTCTTGGAATTAATATGAATAATGTCTGAGAAAGGCTAATATGAAGGCCAACACTAAAAGAGTAAGAACTCACTGCATCTTCAGCTATGCCTGTCAGTCTTTTAAAGTATTTTTTTTATTTCCAACATATAAGGAGGCATGCAAATAGGCACGTGTCAGCCTACCTCTGTGTCCTGTGAGGAGATGAAGAATGAACTAAGTTTAGTAAAATGTAGTAAATGTTTTTGGTTTTTTCTCTATTTTGTTCATTGGTTGGATTTTTTAAAAACTCTTATAATTATCAATGTCTAATGTTTGCCTTCATTAGGACAAAATTCTTATCAGTAAGAATGCACCTCTGTAAGATGTAATGTGCGTGGCATAAAAGAAATAACATGGAAGGTAAGCCTAGAGTTGCAAAGTTTTCAGCAGGAACTTAAGGGCACAGACATTTGAAAACTTGCTACTACTGAACCCTCTTTTGTAAGTAAGACACCTCTCTACAGAAAGTCACTTGCAGGTAACAGAAGCAATGCAATTTTTCCACACAGGATGCACTAAACCATGCCCATTTATAAACGGGACCTGATAAACATTTGTTTCGATACCAAATTCTTAAGTATCTTGCAATTAGTGTGGGAGTCCCACGAAGTGCAAAATGTACTGTAAGTGAACGGAAGCAAATAAAAAGGGAGGGGGGCACCGCGAGCATCCATGACACAAGATAGCTCCGTGGCGAAGCCCTGACATCAGGGAAGGACGGCGAGTCGATGGAAGATTATCAGGGAGTTTAAAATGTGCCAGTCGGAAAAGAAAAAAAAAAAAAAAGCAGCGCCGAGGGCGGGAAGGCAGGAAGGCACAGCACATGGCAGTAAGATGCTGAGTACCTTTAAGCCCGTCGTTTTAACCGCCAGGAAGTTTGCAAAGGTCGCCCGCCGAAAGCGCTGCGGACTTCTAACTCGTCTGCAGCACCTTCTCATTTTTTTTTTTTTTTTTGGGGGGGGGGGGGGGGGGGGGGCTCTACCTTTCCTCAGCGCCGCGACAGCTTAAGAAAGCTCTCAAGAAGCACCGTTTGGAAGGAAGAAGACATGGCTGTCCCCTTCGCTCGGGCAGAGGCCTGCTGAGGAACCGGCCGGCGGGACAAGCGCCTGCGTTCCTCTTTTTAGGTTTCTCCGCGGGCACCTCGGGGCTCGCCGCCCCCCGCCGCTCTGCCTCTCGCTGGGGCCGGCGGCGAGCGGAGCGGGGTGTGTGTTTGCGTGGGGGGGGGGGGGGGGGGGGGGCGTGGGGTGTATGTGCCCGCGGCTGCCGGCGCCGCACTCACCCGTGCGCTCCGCGGGAGGTGGTACCGGCAGAGCGTGTGGTCCAAGTCGAAGCCCACCACGTCGCACTCAGCCAGGGAGAAGCGAGGAGGCTGCTGAGGCTGCCGCTGCATCGCCGCGGCCGAGGAAGAGGGAGGAGGAGGAGGAGGAGGAGGAGGAGGAAGGGGCGTGGGCGGCGCTTCCTGCAGCGCGGGGCGGGGCGGCTGGAGCCCCCGCCCTGGCCCGGCGGGGCCGCCCTCACCTGCGCGGGGGGCTGGGGGCGCTCCTGAGGGCCTGGGGGATGGCGCGTCCTCGCCGCCGCTGGCAAGGTGGGGGGGGGGGCTCGGCGGCAAAGCTCCCGGCAGTAATCCCGGCGAGGGGGAAGGTGAAAGGGCGAGCGCAGGGCAGTTGGCCGGGAGGCGTGTTTAAACGCTTGGATTAAAAAAAAAAAAAAACCACAAACATAAACCCAAACCCCTCACGTTTCCCGCCAAGGCTCCGTGTGGCCGGGGAGAGGCGGGGAAACGGCGGGGCGGGCTGCGCGCGGCACTCCGCAGGCGCGCCGTGAGGGCGCGAGGGGCGTGAAGGGGGTCGCGGGGGGGGGGGGGGGGGCGCGCAAAGTGCCGCCCCTCCGCCGTCAGAGCCCCGGGGTGGGGGGGGGAAAGGCAGCGAGGAAGGTGGCACAGAGTTAGAAAACCGAAACTCCCAGAGGGAACTACCTTTTAATGTCTTGACAGCTTTGGTAATCCAAAAAAAAAAAAAAAAGGACATTTTGGTAGGTGCCTGCCCAACAAGTGTCGCCTTAGCGCGCGTCGGAGGAAGGGGCTCCCTGAAACGGAGTACTGTGTCTGGGGAAAAGTAAACTGAGGAGAGCTCCCTTGTCTAAATTCTGTTCTCTGTGGTTGAACTTGGATACAGTGCCTAGTTTAGGCCGGATTCGGGATGCTTAAATAGCTGGGCTTGGCAGCCTTGTTTGCAGGTCCCCCGCATTCGTCCGCAATTCTGTTCTCTCTGTAGACCGACAAAACTTTGTTGATTCACAAAAGATGAAAAAGTCAAGTTCAATTACTCTGCAACTCTGCAAATATATATTTTTTTTAAAATTCTTACATAGCTATAAAGAGAATAATATATATATATAAAAAAAGTATTTGAATCAAGAGCAATTGTTATGAAATGTTTAATGCAAGTCATCTTTTTCAGTGTTGCCTTCCTGTGCACAGCTGTAAGTGTTGTGCTTTGCAGGTGGGAAAGTTGGGGTGCATAACCGTAGCAGCAGTGCACAGCAGGAGTTTTGATGATAGGAAAATAATTATGTTTTGATTATATCAAATTATGATCTGATTTTTTTGCAGGATGGCTCAGTGATGATTTGGTATTCCAGAGTGAAATGCTTTTGGAAATAATGCTCAAACAGTTGAATGAGATACAATGTACTTACATATTAAAATTCTGTTTGCTGTGCTCAGATAGATACAGATGAGAGAAATTTAAATAACATGACCTATCACATATGTTTAAAAATTCTACAGGGAAGTTCAGTATCAGATTAGAAAATGGACTAGACAGGAAAATACATGGAAATTAGGAATAAAATACACTAATGTTAATAGTAGGACAAGATGAGCACTTGGTTGCATAATTTTACCTCATTGTATAGCAGCTTTCTTCAAAGGTTCTCAGTATCTCCCACAAACATAAATATACTTTATAATGCTGTTGTGTACGTATGTATCTATGCACACCATATATTGAATATATATTGTATATGATATTCAAAATGTACATTATATATACACATAATAAATTATATATTCATAAAAGTACATATGTTTTAGATAAGTGTTCAATAAATAAATATATGCATATACGCTTAAATACATCCAAACTAACAAGTGTGAAACCCGAGCATAGAGAAAGATGCATCCAGGATCTCACAACAGGGATTGTAACTGTCAAGATGAGACAGCAGCCTGGGAACTCAGAGCTCAAGACAATTTACCTTCCTAAAGCTGCTCACTTTAGGAAACATGGAGCAAATTCCTGCCCCTCTGAAGTCAGTGGCCACAATTTATCTTGGCTTCAGTAGGTCCAAGAGTTCACCCACAGCTGCTATTTCACACTACCCTCACATTAACTTGAAGTATGTCTGACTGGTAGATTATATCAGTAGAGCTCTGTTATTCCAGACTTACTTTTTTTTTTTTTTTTTTTTCCCCACAAAGGCTCATGCAGCTTGCAAAATTGTGTTTAGATTATGGCATTTTAAATTTATAACTTTTCTTGCTATGCCTGTAAAACAGTTTACACAAAAACTCACCACAAAACACACTGGTATCAAAACATCTAGACAGATACCTAAGATCATATACTCCTTGATAGAATCACAGGATGGTTTGTGTTGGAAGGGACCTTTAAAGATCATCTAGTCCGATGCTCTGGTCACCATATTCACTGTCAACTGAATGTGATCTTGAACATCCAGATTTTGTGAATGCCTCACAATTATTTTGGCAGTAATGACAAGTTATCTTAGAATTTACAACACGAAAGCACTCACTGTATTTAATCTTAAACCTCTTTGAGTGACAAACAATGCTCACCCGTGGAGAGATTCGGCAAGTTAAATTTCAGGTACGTGATGCTGAAGATTAAATTAGAAGTGTGACAACAAGAAATATAGAAAATGTTGGTGAAGATAATTGATTTTCAGTTCTGGGAAAAGAGAAGAGAAATGAGAGAATACCTCCTTCATCATCAGTGTTCACAGCACAAACCTGATAACAGGAAAGTCTTGGCGGTTTACTTTCAGCACACAACCCCCAAATTTTATTTCTTTTTTTCTTAAAAGTGTTGCTTTGTCTCTCAATTTCTTTCTTTCGGATGAATCCTTTAAACATACTGACATCCCACCCTAGGGCCTTTCGCGGAAAGGAGCAGCCTTTAATCAAAATCCTCTGTAACAACTGAGCTACCTTAATGTGTCAGCGGCACCCTTTCAGATTACTTTTTCAGGTCTGATGGCACCATGAGCCACTCGGAGATGTCCACACAACTGAGGTTGACTGACGTGCGGAAAACAGACTCCACAATCTGGTAGATTGTAAAGTAGGTATGTTTATTCAGCGCTGAGGCACACAGGGGATAACTCCTCCTATTGTGCGCGCCGATATGGCACCGTTACCTTAGATTTATAGAGCAAATGATTACATATTCATAGTATTTCGCAATACACCCTATACATATGCATTACCTATCCCCGCTTCGTATTATAATTAGCATTTCCATAATCTCCTCCCAATTGAGTCTGCGCAGTGTCCTTCTGGTGGTGGTCGTGGGGGTCTTTGGGGATGAAGTCAAGCTCCTCTTCCTCCTGTCCGCTCTGTGACCCCAGGTTTCGCGCAGACTCAGTCTCTTACTGGCTGTTGTCCAAACCGTGGGTCTAGTCCCAACCGGCTTGGTACTGATAAAGCCTAAAGACTCCATGCCTCAGCTCATCATGTTTTACAAACTATCTACTCATTAAGCAGAACTGTTATCTCAACTATTTCCCTCGTCATCCCCTTCTTGCTATTCCCATATTAACCCTTACATCCCCTGTTCCTATCTAGGCCCTGTATCATTGACCTTTTGGGCTATCAGGTCCTGACTGAGAATGGGTTAGGTTTCCCTGTGGTTAGTTTAGCCGTCACGTGAACTGCTTTTATATTTCAAATACGCGGTAATAAACCATCGGGGAAAAATCCTAACACCTGTCCTGGCAGGGCAAATTTCTTGACTTGGTCACGCTGCAGGAGATGGGTTTGCTTGTGTTGCGGCTCACCTCCTGCAGCGGCAGCATCCCGTGGCCCCCCCGGCCGGCACTGCATGGAGGGGGGTTTTGGGGGGGGGGGGGGTGCTGCTGGCGGGGTGCGCAGGCCCCCCCGGAGCAGGCGGGACGGGGCGGCGGGTGCTGCCGGCGCTCGGTGCCCTCGCAATTTAGCGACCTGGAAGGAAACGCGCGTGAAGTTGTGTCAGAGCCTCCGGTGGGTCAGCGGGAGAGGCCTCCTGGTTTGCCTCGTGCCTCACGCCTGCGTTCCACACGCCGCGCGGTTCGAGAGCGTGCAGGGGGGTACCGACATGGCCCAGACGGCAAAAGGAACGGAACGGAGTGTGGTAACGGACGTAAAGGCACGAGAACCATGTCAAAATACCTCAGATAAACCTGAGCTGTCACACAGAAGTTGTAGGCCTCTGATCAAGAAGGTACTCCAGCTCCTCTTTTTCTTTGTCCTTAAGAGGGCAGCATTACGATACAATGGAGCATTCCTCCGAGTTAACTGTGAATCGTCAGCACCTTAATCTGTTTTACTTCCCTTACACTTCGGGTTTATTTTCCTAAGGATGTGTAAGTTGACTTTCTATTTTGTCCCAACTACGCAGTTGCAGCCGCTTCCCTACTTAGGCAGAAGGTGTAAGAGTTTAGTTAAAAAAAGGAAAGGGTCCCTCATATCGCTACAGAAGAGTATGCAGTAATGATATGTAAAATTTTCATTTTAGACAAGTAACACCTTCTTACACAAAAGTGAGCTCAGAACGTTCTAGATTTTTCCCTCTTTGTTTTTAAAAACAAACTGGAAATACTTTCAGAGTAGAACAAGTCAAACCAAAAAGTGTTTTATGTTTTTAGCATGTATTTTATTTCAGCACACTGGTAAAATCTAGAACCTCAGGTATGCGCTTGATTTAGCTTTTAACCCTTTCCGTTGTTCAGTGCACGGGAAGGAGAGTGCCCCACAGCCCAGCACACCCGTCCTGCGCTGACAGTACCTCCATCCCCACCCCCGGAGCCTGATGCCCGCTGAGATAACTCCCTGCTTGTCACAGCGCGAGCTCCCCGTCTGAGGATTGTTTCTCCCACCCCAGACCCACAGGAGGATGGAGCCCACATCCCAGGCTCACCCAGCTGGCCCAGCTCAGGGACCTCTGCCAACATGTCTCCCGAGAGTTCCCCTGATTCTCCCGCGGTCCGGGGCAGCGCCTGGACAAACGCTGCTGTTGCTCTAACTTCACTCCCGTCTCAGGTAGACCCATGTATTAGCCCTTCTGGTGCTGTCACAGCCCTTAACAACTCCCGAAAAGCCACCACACAGCTCCCACCCTACAGGCAGTTCCCGACAACGCACCACTACCCTTCTGCTGCCCCTCTTATGCGTGGGTCCATAATCAGATTCGAATG